ACGTATCATTTAATCCACTGCACCGACATTGCCGATGCCTTAGCGTAATGATTTTCTATTTTTTATGTAGATTAGAGGCTGGCCTCAATCAGAAGAAAATTAATCTGGTACGATTCTCAGTCAGAATACCAGAAAGATATTTGTCTCCGCCGTTTTGATACTCATTTTTTCAAGTAATAAATAGTGCAATTCTTTTAAAGCTTACACACAAACCGATTTTTCAAGTCGGTTTCACGACGTTCGAAAAAGGGGATTATAACATGGAAGCTCCAACCGTTTCCGGTGTAAGTGATCACGTGTCGACAATTTCATTCGGTCCAAATCAGAGGCATATTTTGGTTGAAGAGTCAAGGGGGAAGGGGGGCGTCACAGCGTGGGTGCCATATCCCACCAGGGCAATATCAAGGGAGAAATGTATTACCTCCAAGGGGAGCCAAGCAACGTCTCAGGGGCGCCAGGTGGGGGGGACGCCCCCCCCCCTCCCTGCCCCCGTAAAATACGCCTACCGTAATTCTTCAAAGATGGGATTCTTTCGATTCCATCAGTTCGCACGAAAACATTATCCATAATAAAGAGGCACTGAGCATGGAGGGCGGCACCTAAGGTCATTCGATGAGTGAATTAAAAAAAAATTATATCACTGAATTGAACTCCACAGCTATAAATAGAGAAAGCTGCGCTGTTCAATTGTTCTAGTAACTGGCCACGATATTGCCTTTGATCAGAAGCAGGGAGACGATTGAACGCTGACATGCCGACTTATGTGAATAAATAAAGGATGATATCTTTCTTTTCAGACTTGGCTGCAAGTCTTCCTTCGTCGGTCCCAGACAAACTGAGTTTGACGGAAACAAGTAATTGTAGAGAATCTGCGACGTTGTTCTACGCCTACGGCTAAAACCCGCGGGGATCCTCGAATCTGTCTCAGACAGGTCCCAGAAGGCCTCCATTTCAGCTTTGAATCATTTCCGTTGATTCGTTTCTGCTCATCGTTTCCTCGTATGTTTTTTGTTGTCTCAGAAAATCGGAGAGAAATAACATCTTGAGAGCCTCGAGCAGATGCTACAACGTAACATCTGCACCCCCTAAACTGCTTCCGCAGCGTCTATACCCCGATAATAGGGTCGATCGATCCATTGTGGACCCGTCTCACTATTGTTTTTCCCCAACCCATGAGAGCAAATCCCATGGCCCCCATCCGCTCTCCCCGGGAAGAAACCCCAGAAGAGGACACAGATGGAACACGCTCGTCCTCATTCGTCTTCATCTGGGGGGTCTCGGATCGATGCGGGAGGTGCGAAGGTGTGAAGCGCGATCGAATGGGAGAGCTCCCATTTGTTTCTTCGACGAATGGGGGGAATCTCTGCGGTAAATTTTGGGAATCCGGTGTGCTTTGTCTTTCCTGCATTGCCTTGTCCTCTTTCAGACGAGGGCGGAGAAAAGGGTAACTTCGGTCTTGCCCACATTATTTTGCCACCTGACTCGATGATAAGCGATTCCCCACTGCGACGGAGAGCGGCAACGCTGGGAGGCGCGATTTCTATAGATGAGATGAGGTGCCGCCTGGGAAAATGGCAGATGCATCTGCCGAAATGCGAAATAAATGACAGACACGGTTACTTAATGGTTACTCGATGAGACATAAAAGGGTCCTTTTGCACTTTTCCACCTCATTTCATCACCATCCCCGAAGCATTTTGTGGGGAAACGCGAAGCCCCAAACCAGATTATTCTCACTTCCCTACAAGAAACCGTGTCTAGCCACCGAGAAATGGAAAACTTGCTCCACGATTTTCCGGAAGCATCATAGATATGAAATGAGGATAAAATGATCGTTCGAAGTCCACTATGTCGATGGAGGGGGAGAAGGGAGGGAAGGGGAGTATGAGGGGGATGGGGAGGAAGGGGGGGGGTGGGGGGATGGGGAGGAAGGAGAGAATGGGGGGATAGAGGGGAAGGGGGGGAAAGGGGGGAAGAGGGGGGAGGGGAGGAAGGCTGGAGGTCTCGCTTCGAAATAAGGTAGAAGTGTCTATTCGCGTCACTTCAAACCTGAAAATACATTTCCCATGGGGAAAAGGGCACTACTCCGCGGTGGGACGCCATATTCGAATGCGGTTTCCATTGGTGCACAAGTCAGACACATCCTGGAAGGTCTCTGAATATTCGTGCGAGTTCGCGTCGTGCCAATATAAAGAAAAATGGAGAAATCCAAAGCTTTCTCGTTGATAATATGGATTTCTATTGCGTCATCACTTGTGCCATTTTGCGGCCTATGTTGAACCAGATGACGCCTATCGATAGGAATGCCTATGCCTCGGGTGTGCCGACTTGCGTCACATGCAACATTCCAAATCGAGACATAACGCTCGTTTTTTTTTATGGTTTTAAAGGAATTAAGGGTTTAAACGAACAAATGAACATATTGATGGATATAATTTCATCCAGTATAGGATGATTTAAAAAAAAAACGCTCTACAATTTTATACGGGAGAAACGCTGCTCATAAATGCAGGAAATAAAATTAAACTGGATACACGATCGATATTTGACAGTTACAAGGTGATGAAATGCTTGCCAGCTTTTTTTCAGCACCCCTGCCTAAGTCGTGCAATGCCCATTTAGAGGTAAGTTAATCCACGAATCTACACCTAGTAAGGTGGACACGAGCTGGCGGATTCTTAAGTCACTTGAAAAGTTGAAATTGAAAAGTTCCCTGTCAACCTAGCAGCTGATACTTGACAGAGAGGTTCATGAGTCTAAGAGTTTTTTTTTCACTTCCGCAAGATGGCGCTGTATCCCGATAGAGGATATTGTTGTTGACCGGGTGACCGAGGGTGATTTAAAAAATGGTGTAATGCTCCACCTGTAAACTGTGTAACGGGACAATTCATGCCTCAGAGAATTGTTCAGAAAATAAAAACCGAGAATCATTTCAACACTTTCTATATGTCCAATATCAAGAGTTTATGAATCTTATATTTTTTACTCGAACACACGAATCGTACTTTCTCCCCTTTGAAAACTATGGAGCTTTTTTTTTTTAAAATCATCCTCGGTTACTTGCGATGTTTGGTGATTCGTGCGCAAAAACATTTCATCATGACGGTTACTTTCTGAAAGCGGAATGTCCCGTAAAAAAAAAAAAAAAAAAAAAAAAAAAAAAGCGTTTCTCCCGTATAAAATTGTAGAGCGTTTTTTTTTTAAATCATCCTATACTGGATGAAATTATATCCATCAATATGTTCATTTGTTCGTTTAAACCCTTAATTCCTTTAAAACCATAAAAAAATTTTAGTAATTCAGGCTGAAGTTTGTAGCAAGTCTTCAAGTCTTGGCAAGTATCTACACGTATAAATCTATTGATGGACCGCAAGAGGATGGATACTTTCCACAACTTTCCTTTTCTGAAAGTTTATTTTATTTTGTTCGGTTCAGTCAGAAACATCGCAGGAACACGTGCGAGGCGCGAACAGATGGGAGTTTAAAAGGAAATCTGTTTGCGTCACTAAGGGACGCAAATACGAAAATTATCATAGTACCCGACTTAACGATAGATTTAACATGATATTCAAGACCATCAGACGCACAAATAAAAACTAACGATGTGCTTCCCCCCCCCCCCCCCCGGTCGCCTCAGCCAAAGAGCGGAGAATCCTAAGCTCCCGAAAACGAACGAGGCCCATGCCGGCATACACGCATCAGTGGGAGAGAAACGCGGTGGTCCTTCGTCTGCGGTCACAGCGATCTCATTGGGACCGCTCCATGCCCTGCCTTGTGCATCTGCTGATGCATGGCCATTGGAAAACAACAAAAAAATACTTTCCCTCGGCGCCGCGAACTGACCCTTGGCGCGAATACGCGCTTCTACCTTAAATGCAGATGTGAGTACCGGCGTGGTATTGTTTCTCATGGATGCCACGATTGCTGGTGCTGCCAAAAACAAATCAGTCATGCTTAAGATGCACGAAATGGTTTGCGCAAGAAAAGTTTGCATTTGAAAAAGAGAACAAAGAAAGAAACAGAACGAATTGGCCGAAACTGCATATGCTCATCAAGAACCCAGTTGTGAACGAAATGCGAGTTTCGTCGTGATCCAGGTCCATAAGAGAAAGTGAACAAAGTTGTATGGAACGAATCGACGAATTTTGATGGCTACGGTTGGATTCCACGAAGGGGGGCACCAAAGACCTTCGGCACTGGGATTTGCGAAGGGTGATTCGCGGGAAGCTGCGTTGCCGCTCTCCCCGAGCAGGTCGTAAAAATCCGAGAAAAGTGATTCGTACTCGCGTTTCGAACGACTTAGCGAGGAACTGTGGTTTGAATTCCGGATTCTGAAGGTCATTATGCAATTTTGCCGTTGTGTGGATGGAATGGCTAGGATCGCTCTCGTTTTCTGCGGTTTCAGCCTGCCCAGAGGTTCAAGGGGGACACAAAAACGTGAGCCGAATCCGACTGGATTTTCTTTTTTCGGTTGAAAGCAAGGACCTTGGCCCTTGAGGACACCAAATTAATCTGACTAGGCCAAGGCCTAATGAATTCGCAGCGTGACTATGGGCTCTGCACCGAAATGTGACCTCGCGTTCGGAACGATGCGGAATCGATTTGCAATTGGAAAGTGAAAGAAAGGCACATACTCCAACTCTCCGCCGACGTTTCCTTCAAACTTGGCGGTTTTCTCCCTCGAACCATTGCCAATTTCCTGTTGCACTTCCCGATGAGATCCGGAACGAGGTTCCCACAAGGATTTGGGGTTCATCGATCCTCGATTTACCAGGAATCGTTCACGTCGACTGGACTGTTCGAAGTCTTGGCGCAGACTGGAGTCGGTTCTGATTCTGGCCGTGCGGAGCGCTGCGGTCGCTCGAAGATGGCGACGTCTTCATTCACGTGACCCGTGCCAATCGTCTCATCTCGTTCTGTCCCGGTTTGGGTCTGTGTGCGAATTTCGCCGTTGATTCGGTGAGCTGAGCCTCGTTTGGAGTGATGGGCGGATGAGGAACATGATCGGTGATAGTAGACTTGACGGGGGGGGTTCTGGTAGGTCGAATGAAAGTGCGTCTGCCACCTCGGACGAAGGTTAGTTCTCAACGAAGCACGTCTGTACATTTGCGTAGTTAGGCTAAAGATAATAGCCAGATGATAGCCAAGATATTAGATAAGATAATAACCTGATGAATCTGGGATAGAGGTTGGGTTGACTTAACGTCAAAGTAATGTCGTTCGGGGATCGGGTGATTTCCGTAGGAAATGGCAATGGAGGAAGAAGACGTTTGTCAGTGAAAACACCGAAGAGCTCGCAATATCTGCTGGGTGATGGAGGGGGAAAGACCAGCTGGTGTTTCGAGGCCAGCAGTGGGTTCAAGATCATCGTCACTTGCTTTGCGGTGTTCACCGTGGCCGTGACCACCGCTTTGATCATAGAAATCGTCTATGGGGATCCTGAGGTGAGATGGATGGAATAAGCTAAAGCAATCAAATTGAGCCTAACCTCAATGCCTGTCGGAATGAATGACTGAGGAAACAGAAAAATGGTAGCCTGGATTTTTATCATATGGCAATATTTAGGTTGTGCCTCATGGAGTGGTGTCGACAGACAACCAGCATTGTTCGGAAATTGGAGCGGAAATCCTCAAGAAAGGCGGTTCGGGGGTCGATGCAGCCATCGCCGCCTTCTTTTGTCTTTGCGTGTATCAACCATACTCTGTTAGCCCAGCTGGGTGAGTGAAAGCAATTGCAAGAGAGTCATGTTGGTTCAACGTTAGCACTGGTACAAGCAGCTTGTGGAGCATATGTCTAAACTACATCACTTTATTTCTTTCACCAGGGGAGGATACATGCTAATACACCAACATGGTGTGAATGGGAAAACCACTCTCTTCAATTTCCGAGAAGTAACTCCTTCACGTTTGACAAAAGAGCAGCTGAAAGAGCCTGGTACGAGACGAGGCGAGGGCGGATTGTGGGTCGGCACCTCCGGCCTCATGAAGGGACTTCGCCAAGCCCATGAAATGTTTGGAAAACTCCAATGGGCAGATCTCGTCACTCCTTCAGTTACTCTAGCTCGGTTTGTGGCTTTTTTTTGTGCTTTGAAGAATGCAACTTTAAGGCATGTGCACTGGCCAGTTCGCATTACTGAAATAATTTTCTTTGCAGGTATGGAGTTCCGCTGGATCGGATCCACGCCAGAGAAGTCCTGGCTCGGAAGGATGTGCCTTCGTCGCAGCTGTTTGCCGATTTTCAGAAGAGTTATGACTTGGGGAAGCATTTCATCAATGAGAATCTGGCAGAGACATTGAACCAACTTGTCATTGTTGGTCCTCAAGGTTGGCATGCTTAGAAGGGTTCACTTTCATCTTCCAACCTTTGCTAGCTGGAATTTCCATGGATAATTCTTTATTTATCTTCAAAGTGTTCTGGAATGGATCTGTTGGAGAAGACATCATCCAGAGTGTGAAACGTGCTGGTGGGGTGATGGAACTCCAAGATTTAGCCGATTACAAAGTGGAAGAGATGGCTCCATTGGAAGAAAGCTTTTGGGGTCACAAGATTGTCACAAGTGGAGGAGAATCTGCAGGAGCAGGCATGCTCTCAGCATTGGGATCTTTTGTAGCTGAAGAATTTCCTTCTCTCTCATGGTCTCAACTCATCCAAAGTCTTAATGTTGCACTTCTTGAGGTTTCCCTCTCAGGTATAATCATCATTTGATATATGACTATGATTGCTGTACATTTCTTGGTCTAACATACTGTTGCCCATCGCTCTCCAGGTGACTCTGAAAACAAGACTAACCCCCAATCAAAAAAAGGAGATACCTTGATCCAGGAATTGTTTGACTTATCCGAACCCACAGGTTCAGCTATTTCTGTTATGGCAGTCAAGGAGCAGTATGTTTCCTTTGTGAGGTATGTTCTTCCTTGACCATAATCTTCAAGTAACCACTGCAATTTCATCCTAATTCCCCATGTTTATACTTTCTTCTTGTTCTTCAGTGGGTTGAATTCCCTCTTTGGAGCACAGGTGGCATCAGAGAAGGGAGGATTCTTCTTGAATAGTGCCATGAGCAATTTCTTCCTCTTTGACGACAGTGATGCTCCCAACAACTTTGGACCCACAAAGCATCCGCTCTCCTTCCTAGCACCAGTCTTGGCATATTCTCCAAATCGTCCCTGTTACAAGAGGCTGGTCCTCGGCTCTTCAGATTTCCAGGCCTCCGTCCAGGTTCTTCTACACAGTCTGTACTTGAATGAGAGCATTTCTGACAGTGTAGAAGAACCTCGAATTTACATTGGATCTGATGGAAATATCTACGGAGAAGGTGAGTTCCATGTAGCTGAAGCTCAATGGAGGGTGACTAATATCTGTGTTTTTTTTTATTCCTATAGTTGCAAGTTGTGGTCAAGTTCATGTCTATAAAAGAATTTACTAAGTCAAAAAATAGATTGGTGGTTTAGGGAAGGGTGGGAATGCTCTTATCACAGACCCCATCAATGCCCAATGTAGCTAGTGAGGAGCTAGGGTGGTCATGAGGGAGAAAATTAGGTTACCATTGCAAATTTTATTTCTTTTCCTATCAGGCACTGAATTAATGCATTAGCGAATGTGCCTGTAATGATCATTGGATGCTGGCATGTGTGAATTAAGTGCTGTTGGGGCTGTCTTGCAGTTCCTTGAGAAGATGCTAGAATATCACTGATACATTCACCTGTGCGTGTGCTATAATGGAAGAGGTTAAGATAAAGACATCCAAGTTGCTCTTTTTCTTGGTGTACAAAGTTCTCTCATAGAGGTAAAAGCACACTTTTGTCAAGTGGCTTGATCTCTATGTACTGTCCTCCCATTCTTGTATCTATCCTCCTTTCCAGAGCTGTTATATGAATCCCTCTGTGGTCATAATCAATAGACCTCCAGGTCTGGCCAAAAATGCAGACTTCTATTCAGGCTGAGGTGCCTATACCAACTTCATTGCAAAGGTCCTAATGCACAGGCAAGGAATGTTAGGGGAGGATTTCATGAAGGAGACATTGCCCAAAGTGAAGAATAATCAGGATGGACGTATTTTCAAGCTGAGTCAAGAATACCTTTGACCTTCGTGGATTGGGCTTGCTAGCTGATTTTGTAAGAGTGAAAAAAAAAAGCCAGCTATAATGGGCTGTACTGCGCAGTCTAACCCATAGTGACACTCTCTTCTTTCAAGACTTCATGAGCATAGTTCAATATATTGCCTGATGGCATTATGCAGGAAGTATAATGACCATCAAGATTAGATTAATTTTGTATTTTGGGCAAAGTGCCAATAGATTCTAATGTTGAGATGCAACTGCACCATGGTAAACATGGTAAAATATGACCTTTGCCTTTACCATTTTTCCATTCTGTGTTTTGCTTAAAAGCCTGGGTGGAGGAGTTTGTTATGTGGCTGTTGAATCAAACTCAACTTGGTTATGATTGAAATATCTTGTATCCCTACAGAAGGCTTCGAGTATAAAGACTTGATCGACTTGAGGAAAAAACCAACACCTTATCCCAGCGTGAACCTGCTGTTCAAGTACGAGGACACGGCGAAGGGCCATTCCGACACGCGAGGGGGCGGGTCGGCCTATAGGTTTTGACATCGCCCCTTTTGTCAACTATGAGAGGGATCTTCCTTTCCTTGTTGGGTGCTTTATGAAGTGTTTTTTTGGGAAGTGCAGTTGATGAGAAATATTTACTTTCAGGTAGGAGCCAATCAAATACTGCATTTTGGTAACTGTGCCCTCGCAGGTTTTAAGCTCGATGCTCCATGATTGCATTCCCTGAAATGACATGAAAATGGGTGATAATCACCTTGTCTTTCATATTTGCCTTCTTGTTTCTTGATTGCTCATTTTGTGCCAATCCAGGCTTCTACGAATTTTATATAGTACCCTTTGCAATGTCCACTCCACTTGTATCCATCCAGAAATGGCAGCTCTTTGTATGCATTCAGCATTGTTTAGTCTTTTGGATGTGAACTATTCCTGGTTTATGTTTTGCACAGTATTTATGACGGTATGAGATATTTGTTGAGTGATACCCTTTCTCTCGTTGTTCACGATCAAACTTTGACATTCCACATTTACATTCCCTTTGAATGTTTTGCAAGAGATGCAAGACTTGAATTCAGCTACTCCTATATGTACTCATTGTCCAACAGGTCAAAGTGCTATTTTGTTTTGTTTTGAACGCTGTTGGAATATTCAGGAAAATATATAAGAATGCAATCAAATACAGCATGAACGATACCTTTGTCGTTTTGCTTCCATGAGAGGGATTCCCAGAATAATCCAGATCCTCCCTGAGAAGCGAGTCTTTTCTCGTACTCTACAGAGGCCACACGTTTATCCAGCTAGCGTGGGGTCGAGGTAGTCCCTCGAAGGATGATGAGACGATACGACCAGTTTCACTTTGTGACAGTCCCGATTTTCCAAGCTTCCTTAAGGATGGGCAAAGAATCCCCTGGGCTGGAAGTTGTGGAGAAGTAGAGGCCGGGGGGGAGGGAAAAGGAAGGAAACTGCATGGATGACGCCCTATTTCCTGACCCTGAGCCCACACGAGGCCCATATTGATGCATGCTTGCGAACCGCAAACCGCTCTGGTCATTAACAGCGTTATCGACCCTTCATTGGCGCCGGCAACGTTTTGAACCTCCAATACGTTCCAGCGAAGTTGTTACCTCTTCATCAGCCGTCTTATTACATGGTGCCCCTCTGGTGCCGTCATCACTGCCGGGTGAGCAGGCGTCCCGCCACCCGTCGTGTTTCGAGTAGCTCTGAGCGGCGGGGGACTTCCACGAAGACCTTCCTTGTTGTCTCTAGTGTAGGCTGTACCGAACGTCGAGATAAAGGTTCTCTTCGACCTTAGTGGTGCCGAAACGTTTGGGGAGCGGACGGGAGGCGAATGAGCCCCCCGTTTCGATGCCATAGCGAGATGGAGAAACAAACTGGTCTAAATACATCTGCCACACCCCGAAAAAAAAAATTCTGCCCGTTTGAGGAGAAGCTGGGGAAATCCTGGATACGCCACTTGAAGCCTTCCTCGAATTAAATTCTTTGGCTGCGAAAGGTTGGAGAATCGGGTCGAGCCAAGGACACGAGAGATTCGATGCGTCACCGAGGCGGATCGAAATTCCATCGCGGAAATCACGGAAATCGCAGCCCGCTTCCACAAATCGACTCCCATTCCATGCAGGTCTCCCTTCGGACCGTGAACTCATCGCTAAACTTTAAAAAAGATCGATTTCGACGTCACCGTTTTCCCTCAGCCGACGGAAAATATCTCTCCCCGCGACTCTTTAATTAGTAGCACGGACTCATTAGAGCAGAAGACATTTCCTTCTTCCACGCGATTTCCATCTGTTCGCGAGCCGGAATGAAACCCGAGTCCTTTTTCCTCCTTTTTTTTTTCCTCTGACAGCGATTTATACGAGAATAAAACCGCAACGACTTCCTGGATGTGCCTTTGCCGGCTCGCACGGCGCGATCGGTTATGCTCCTTGCACGAGGTCGAGGGCTCGCGGTTTATTGCGTTGAGCTGTTGATTGGGTGTCGTATTTCATGGAGAATGAGATTGCGTTGTGTGCGGTGCGATTGGTTTATTTCATGCCGGGTCGAGAGCTTGCAGCGCCGAGGCGGAAGGTGAATTCACTGCGGGAGGCTTTTGCGGTGGAAACGGACCGATTTTTGGTTCCCATCGTCGATGCACGCATGACGTCATCGATGACGTCACGCTCCCCGCGGCGCGAACGGCGGGAGCGACCCGAGTCGGCTGGATTCGGGTCACTTGGTCGAGCGCCTTCGAGCGTGGAGGGTGAATGCAGTCGGTGCGTTCGTCACCCGAGCGGCCGACTGCGCCGCAGACGGCAAATAAAGCAAAAAGAAAATGAGATTTTCGCGATTAGCCTGGATACTGCCGCGTGCCACCTGGAGACGTGGAAGAGACCCGAGTCGGTCATGGCGGCGCAGTGCGGCTGCAGCGATTCCGTTTGGTGAGGTTCTCGCTCGACTGCTTTCCTCTGTTCCGGTCTGAATGAGCCTAATCCCCAGATGTTTTACTCGAGGCCTAGACCTACTAGCCCATATTCTTCACGGTTGTGCCTAGGGTGAATCGATTCGGCTCGGTGAGGGAAAGCTGTAGGTATGCACATGCCCAGCCTACCTCATAATAGATTCTTAGGGAAGCAACTCCGCGAACCGATAAATATTTATGCGTGGCATGCAGGCCCAAGGAAATGGGGTAGGTCTATTCTGACGCCTACGAGCCTAGCGAGAAGGTTACTCCTTTCGCTGCTCACGTGGATTTTTGCTCCCTCACGCAGCAAGCACCACGTGACACGGGAATAAGTCTCTCTCGTGTGTTGATTTATGCTTAGGGTACTGCTCAGTTTCCCTTGCAGCGGGGCCTCGCATACGCCTTGTCGGACGTGGAGGGATTTAATACCTTCTCGTTTACTCCACCCCATCTCCATTATAGAGTACAGAATGCAGGTGGAACATGGTCGTAATATTTCTAATCATAATCTGTTTTATTGCACAGGCTTTGTTAGGCCTAGCTAGCTTAGTTTAGTGGTTTTTTTTTATTGATTACATTCTCCCCCTACCCTTCTCTGAGTGGAACCACATGTCACAATTTGTGCCACATCTGTGCAATTAGAAATGTTCTCTAACGTTAGCTATCCTACTATCTACCTGTTTTAGTTCGTATGCCTGCTCTGTGTAACTGCTTTCATTGTGCAACTGTGAGATATATACACCTAATGTGATGGTTAAATCCAGACCTTAGTGAATTAGTCTATGAAACAGCATTTGTTCATTAGGCCTATGCATTAGTTGCATACATATCCCTTCACAACACCAGTTGGTCAAAGCTTTTGCAGTGGCTTTGTGGAAATGTACTCAGTGCCCACCAACTAAAGTTATCATTCCACTTCACCCTTTGTTTTCTTGGATGTCTAATAAACTTTTGCGGTAGAACTGCATGCTTAATTATTGGTTATGCTTTACCTCGAATAACAAGGTCTCACCTTGCCTTGGTTTATTAATTCTTTATGGATGGGGAAGTAATTCCTTTTTTTTTGGGAATGTAACAGTGTAGCAGCAAGCATGGGCTCACCATGGTTAGGTTAATTGATTCAATAAGCCTATGAGCAGTGGAGAGTACTACTTATTGGGATCCTAGTATGAAGGATGATGACTTTGCACCAGGCTTCAGGGGTTGCTGCATGTACCAGAGGTGGTACTAGTCAGTTTTCTTGGTCATAGTGCTAATATAAGTAGAATGGAAGCCTAAAAAAAAAATAGTACAAAACTACTGGTTTTAATGATTCATTTATGTGTATCCATTTGAGCTGAGCCTGTTTTTCATATTTTTGTATTTTCTTCTAAAGCATCTTTGAACTTGAAGCCAGGTTAGATCAGGAGCTTATGTCTTACCTGCCTTATTACCACATTAGGCCTATTTCAAATCCGATTGTGTTTTGAAATCAGAGTTAATGTCTGTGGCATGTTTTTTTATTTATTAATGGAAGTTATACATATAATATAGACCCAGCCATAGGCCTGCTGATACAGGAGGAAGCATATTGAGTTGTTTGGGATAGATCAGAACTGACATGTCATGAATGCATACAGTTGAACATTGAGGTGCATCATCCCAACTTGTGTATTGCTTCTCTTCCAGATCTTCGAATTTCTTACAAGGAGGGAAAGTAAATGGAATTTTTCCTACATTTCTGATGTACTTGAAGGGAAGTGTCTCTCTTTTCCTTGGAAATGGCATGTACCTGTGTATAATGGTATTCATAGTTTCTCTATGTTGGGTACTATTGAATTTGTTTCTCTTGCCATGATTAACCTTATTGCAGAAAGTTCCTTTGATTAAGGCAAGCAGCAAAATAAAATTTGAATGTCTGAACAATATTCTTTATAATTAAAAAAAGGAAGAATGTATCCCCTTAGCTGTTAGAGCTTTCATCTGGGAGAATTAAATTTTGCATTTGTATTAGTGTTTTGAGATCTCATAATGAATTGGTTTTTATCACACTACAGCCCCTTGGTCATTTCACCAAGTTTGTTTTTAGGAACAGAGCCTCATATTCATTATAGACAGGTATTCTTGGTCTTCCAGGTATAGTCAGGCCACTCCTCAGGCTGACACAGGCGAATTTTGCCTCCCCATCCATCATCCTATTTATGGTGGGGGGTGATCCTAAGAGGTGTGCTAACCCAAGAAAATCATTGAGGACCCTAAATTTTTTATTACCCCAAACTAATAAACTTGAGGGCTTGCTGACAGAGCCACAAAGGACAAAGGGTATTTTTCACCATCTGCATGATAACGTCATTAGTGTCATTGTTCCTTTGAGTGTCAGCCTAAAGAGTGGCCCTACTATAATTTATTGCATTTCAATTATTATAGGGAGTTTGCTTTCCCCTTTTTCTTCCAGTGGTACTCTTCCTCAGTATCTTTCCCAAAATTGTTATAGCTAAGGAAGTAGTTGACATTGTTTCTGGGAAGAGCAGAAAAAGCAGGTGACTGTTGGAACATTTTCACTCCCCTTCTTCTCTTCCTAGTTTGCTTTTTCCATTTTTTATTTTTTATGGTTGAAAATTATGCAAGATTGAGTAAAATTCTTTGTAATTTTCTACATATCTATATGATTTGGTTTTAGTTGTTTCCCAGAGAAACTTTGTGAATAGGTGCATGTTTCTTTCAATGCAACCATAATATTGGAGACTTGGCATAATGTGGCAGATGGTTTATGGGTTCACTCCTACAATCTTTGATTGTTGATTTAGACAGCAATGAGCTGAAAAAAGGACAGGGAAGGGAATGGGTTTTGGATTTTGCTTCTTGACTGACATCCATTTGTGACAGTCCCATCACTATTCTCTTGAAAGTAAAGCCAAGCAAAGCTCTAAAAATCTTTAATATGGTATATAACAAAGCTTTCTTTTTTTCAGTTTTGCTTCTTTTTTCTCTCATCAATGTATTCAAAGCATATCCCTCAATGTCTCCATTAGCTAGTCTTGCATTTCCATCTGCTTTCCCAGATGTGCCTAAGACTACTTTGAGCCCCAATGTTTTTGAGGGACCTGGCATGCAAATTTTTGAGAATTCTACTGTAATGGATTCAGTAATCTTGTTGGCTATTATGGTATAAATTAAGGGTGAGTTTTCGCTGAACAGCCTGTACATGGGTCCAATTGTATCATAGGCTTACCTGAGTGTGTCACATTGTTTATTACTGATTCGACAACTTGCATTCATTAACATAGACTTTTATTTTTTGGTATGTACGGCAGATTCATTCATTCTGAATTAAGAGGAGAGCACCTTCACACAGGTGTTCAGATCCCTGGAACCCTCCAAAAAGAAAAAGAGGGATGTCCAGGGATCAAAAGAATGGTCATGATTATTTCACCCCCTGGGAGAAGTTCCCAAATCATTCTTTTGTGTAGTCTCGCCAATTTCATCAATGCTGCTGATCGCGTTCTCATGCCCATCGCCATCGTGCCCATGGCTGACCAATTTCATTGGACTTTATATTGGCAGGGCTGGGTCCTATCCTCTTTTGCCTTTGGCTACCTCACAACTCAGGTGAATTCAATTTTGCCTTATTAATACAAATTGAGAGTTTTGAGTGCATTTTGAGAGTTCAGTTGCTTTGTTTTGGATCAAACAGCATGAGATTGTTTTGTGGCTAATAATACCTTATCTAGATTGCCTGGGAACTATTGATTGCACTGAATGCCATGCATCCATGCCATCTGCACAATTTTTTCAGCATCCTTTCCGAGCGCTGTTCAGGAGAAAGAGAGGAACAAAGAATTTGCTGCCAACCTGGTACCAGTTTGTCGAAAGAACCAATATAAAGGTGAATTAGCTCAGGGCTTAGTAGTTCCATATGCAGTGCTTTTTTCATGCTACATAGGAAGACCTTATGGCTTCTTGTTTCTCAAGAGAGCTCCAGCAATAAAGTGTATAATAGAACTATATTTTCAGTGTGGTGATGGATTTGTAGGCCTCTACCTATTATTTGCTTTCATAAAGTCATTCTACTGTCCATGCTGGTCAGGTAGTCCTGTAATTATAATTTGCTAACGTCCATGTGCTTATGTCCAGGCCCAAAATCAAGTGTTTGTCCTTGTGAATGTCTTTTCTCATTGTCCTTACATGATTGGCTTTCTTCAAATACAGAAGCCAATGTGGACAAGGAATGGCCATATTTTTGTTCACTGCCATTCAAGGAAGTCTATACAGGGTGGACTCAAAAATACCAGACAGTTTTCAACAAAATGCTATACTGCACTCAATGCATATTTTTTAATGCAGTTTGCAGCATTTGAAAGAGGAATGACTAGGCTTTAACATGGTGTACTTACATTTCAAATGTTCTCAACAGTTTCAGAAATTCTGAAGCTTATATGAACTAAAAATAAAAACAGCTTTGCTTATGTAGCAGTGGGGATGGATAAGATGGTGGCTGAAGGTCACATGCTGTCTGCATTTGAGTGTGTGGCAATGCTGTTATTGTTTCTTATTCTTATGAGCTCCTGAATTTATGAAACTGTTGAATATATATTTGAAGTATAAGTAAACCATTTTAAAGTTTACGTATTCCTTGTTCAAATGCCACAAACTGCATCAAAACTTATGCAGTGAGTGAAATGTAGTGTATTGTAGAAAACTGTCTGGTTTTTTTCAGCCCACCCTGTATTTCTTAATGTCAGCTGTCATAGCTGATAATAATTTTTTTGGGGTAAAGCACCATGGAAAGTGATGTGGTCCCTAATGCAGTAACTATTGCAGTTGGTAGGAGCAACAGCAGGGAGTAGCTTTGGAGGGAAGAAGGTGCTTCTGTTTGCTGTCCTTTTGTGGTCCTTGACCACAGTTGTCACGCCACTGGTGGCTTCTAACATCTATGTGCTCATCTTGACGCGTATCCTCCTTGGATTGGGAGAGGGTTTGGGTGAGTCTAGATTTTCATGATGTTACTACGTACCTTTTCTCGTAGCTTCTGGACTCAGGTTTCTGTTTGCCCAAATGTTTTCAGGTTTACCCACAATATTCCACATATTTGCTCATGGGATTCCAGTGGAGGAGAGGTCACGTGCCTTTGGTTACCTGATAGCTGCTGGTTCTGTTGGTCAAGTTGTTGCTTCACTGGTAAGGACTGTTTGTCATCTTTGTTATGAAGTAAATAGTGGTACATGAACATTGATCATGTAAGTTATTCTCTTATTCTGATTGTGTTTAAAACTTCACTTAGTTTTTATACCAAGAAATTTTATGCCTAGAGTTGTTGCTCTGAGTCATGATGTTGCATACTGTGATGGTCGATTACATCTAGGGTTGAGGCCTATGCCTGTTTGTTCTGCTGCAGGTAACACCACACATAGCATGGGAACAAGCATTTTACTTGTTTGGGTTTCTTGGGCTCTCTTGGGTATTGCTTTGGGCCATCTTCTATGAAGACTCTCATGCTCAGCCACTGGACCACATTCCTTTTGTCCTACCCAAGGTTAGGCATTATCTGTCAATCATGCTGCTATGTATAACCAATTGCACTAAGTAGTTTCTGTTGAATCTGTAGGTGACTAAACTGAATGTGCCTTGGACGGAATTCCTCATCCATTGGCCTCTGTGGGCCATCTATATAGCTCACTTTGCTATGAATTGGAGCAACTACATCATCATGCAATGGCTCCCTACCTATCTCTCACGGGACCTTGGGGCCAACATTACTAGCATGAGCCTTACTGCTGTCCCATACCTGGTCAATTCTCTCGTGGGAGTTGGTGAGTTGCTTTTGAGAAGCTCTTATTATATGAGGAGTGATTATGAATTTTAAAATTTTATGAAAGAAAAAAGACCGACAAGGTTGCCTCTTTTTTTTTCCACTCTTCTAAGTGTTGTATATCTGATTTTCAGAGTGGCTTTCATATCTGCAATTATTTGAAGAACTTATCTTCAGGATTCCTCTTTGGTTCATTTTGGGTCATAAAACCCAAATGTCAGAACTCTCATCTTTCATTTTCTTTTACTTCTTCTCACACCAATCACCAACTTTGAATGATAATTTGGTGCTTTAAACATTGGTACTTGGGACAGCTCCATTCATTCTCTCCTCAGAACATTGCATTGATCTGCCTTAGCATACCTTCCATTTTGATCAAACGGTGACAACATCCCAAGGACAAAAACTTCTAGAGGCTAAAATACAGCAACTGCTTAGTTGAAGCTTTGCAGAATAGTAGCAGGAAAGTTATTTATTTATTTTTTCAAAGTCACTTGTTCAATTTGAACAGAACCAACATGGAGCTACCAACAGAGAATTAATTTTCTTTTGTTATTCACTGGTTTTGATTCTGTTTCTCCCAAGATTTCCACTGGTTCTACCTTTTTTCTTTTATTTGCATGTGAGTTGTGGCCAATAACTTTAATGAAAGTGATTCTAAGTGCTGCACTACAGTGGCGTTTTTGGCCAAAGTATCAGGGGGGGCAGGGCAACAGAGTGGGGACATCAAACCCCACCAGGGGGGAAAATTATTACCTCCAAGGGGGCACAGGAGGGGGGGAGGAGCTGCACCCCCCCCCCCCCCCCCCCCTTAAAATACACCACTCCTGCACTAGAATCTAGAAGAAAAAAGGCTCTTTCATGGATGGGGGTGCATGAATGTCCCATTCAAGTGCAAAGACTTTTCAGGGCACATTGTCAGTCTTGCGGGAGGTTCCTCCTTAATGAAGGCTCTTTTGAGTAGTCTCGTGTTAGAGGATGAGAGCTTGGTGACCCTCTTTCTGGAAGGTCTCACTACTCTCTACTGGATTTTTTTTAAACTGTAATGTCATTTGAAGCACATTTAAAGTGCATTCAAGCACTTTTGAGGATTACTTAAGAAGAAATTGCAATCTAACACACTTCCCAGTTCATGGAACTTCTCATGATTTTTTTGTTGTTGTCCACCTTGAAGATGTTTCTCAGTTAAAGTTCAACCAAAAAAAGGGTATTTGCACATGAGTGGAAACACTCATGCTATCCATATATTGAAAGCAATTATTTTAGATTTTGGTGTGGCATTTTAATCACTTTTTTGTCGGTAGCCATGACTCACCTGCATATTTAAGAAAAATAGAGCAAAAGCAGAGGAGTTTATAAGAAAAACTGGGACAAAAATAGTGAAAAAAATTAATTTTCTGTTGGCAGATCATGTTGAGTCTGTTCAAACTTAACATGTGACTCTGAAAAAACTTCCACTTTTTTACTACCATCGTGTAACTTTTCAACTTTGCATCGTGTGTATTGATAGCCCCCAGAATTATTTATTTTTGGTAACAGACTTTGTATTCACCCTGTATACCCAGGGTATTGCAACATTATTAATGTATGTATTGTTGCATTTGCAGCTGTATTAATGGGGCTTATGGTTTCATTTTCAGTGGCAGGACATTGGGCAGATAAGTTGATTTCTAACCGATGGACAGTGTTATCAGTGAGACGACTGATGACTGCTGTGGGGCTCATTGGCCCGGCAATCTTTCTGCTAGCATTCTGTGCAGTGGGAAACCTTGCTCTTGCTGTGATGTAAGTGGTCGTTTAGTATTACCTTCACCGTGACTCATTTGGAATCCAAATTCCCCTTCCTGAATTGTAAAAAAATGTATGTTTCTGATTTGCAGGTTCATTTCCATATCCATGGGCCTGTGCGCCTGTAATTCTGCGGGTCATATGAGCAACCACGTGGATGTTGCTCCCAATCACTCTGGGGTCACCTTTGCCGTATCGAATACCTTGGTGAGGAATATGGAATTAGGGCTGTCAACGATAGATCGATGCATTGATACCACTGTCGATGGTTGAAGGTATCGATAGTTTTTTTTACTATCGCGATGTATCGGGAAAAGATTTTAAAGGAGATATGTCCTATTGGATTGAGGCGAGTACAGTACAATACCGTACTTTCCGTGCGGGGAAAGGAAGAGGCGGCATCACCCGCATGGGCGAGCAATTTCTTATCACAATCAAATTCTGGAAATGCTGGGACTGACTATATCAGGGATGTGCGGGCCGCATGTGGCCCGTGGACCTGCTTCTTGCGGCCCAGTAATGCATAATGGGGTAACAGATGAAATAAGCTCCTTTGCGGCCGAAGGCCCATCACAGCTTTGGTCATCCCTTAGTAACTAAACTAGAAATAGACTGAGCCCTTTCACTTCCTTGCCCTAATTATTCCTCACGCGGGGGCGCTACGTATGTCTCGAGGATGAAGGTTCTCGATGCCAAAGGCTAATTTTTGGCGTTGGACTTTCTTAGGGGTGGGGCGGGGGTAAGAATCACCAGCCAATCAGAGCAACCTTATGCCCTTATATGCCCTGAGGGCAAAAGAGGGGAGCCTTTTCTTTTGCATTCTATGGCCCGCGTGGAGAGTCTGGCATTTCCATGCTGCCCGTTGCCGATAAAGGTTGCACAACCCTGGACGGGAAAGGGGGGAAAAAAAAAAAACATGGATCGGAGACGGGAAGTGGGAAAGGAGAGGGAGGGAAGACCGAGAATTTTTTTCTCTGCTGTTTGTCTTTGGCTCGATCTCATCAGGTGCATGCTATGAAAGTGGACTGTTCTTATACTCCTTTCATTTCGAAACGTGCATCGGTGGTACTTTCCCCTCTCTGTATACCTGTCTTTCTCCTTAGTATGCAGGCTTTCGTTTTTTTTAATTGTTAACTTTCCCTGGGGCATTTTACATCTTTACTTAAGGTGAATTCAAAGTGAATTTTTTTTTTTTTTTTTTACCTGGACGTTGCTTATTCCAAGGTTGTACTGTACAGCAACTACAGGTATGGCATCATCGGCAGGTTGCTATCTGTCAGTGCCGAATTCCAAAGCAGACCGTGTAGAACACGAGTCTCAAACTCGCGGCCCGCAAACGCTCTCGATGCGGTCCGCGATTCACCAGCGTACACCGAGAGAGAAACGCTTCCGGCCCAATTTACACAATCAGGGAAAACCTTCAGACGTTTTTCACTTTGACCCGCAGAGAGGTCAGATCTTGGGCTGCCCTGATGCATCCATCGATGAATGGATATCATTTCGATAGTTGGAGGCATGGTAGGTTTCATTACTCGTTGCGAAGGTCACACCCCCCCCCCCCCCGATCACAAGCGTGAGATTATGGAAGATGGATAGAGGTCCGCGCTCCGATGCAGGCAAGAAACGATGGAAGTCAAACCTCCGCCCGATCTAGGCGGGAAAAGATTGAATCCTCCGGCCCCCCCCCCCCACCCCGATGCATCGATACACTATCGGTAGTTCAGGTCGATGGATCGATGTTTTGAAAACTGCTATCGTGACAGCCCTATCTGGAACATGCCTTGAGTTTCCTCTTCGTTCCTCTTGCGATTCCTATCCCTAACTGCCAGATTTGATTTTTAACAGGCAACAATTCCAGGCATCCTCTGCGGACCTGTCACAGCTGAACTGGTGATGGCTTCCCATGGACGATGGTTCCCAGTGTTTGTCCTTGCAGCTGGGGTGAATTTCACAGGAGCTGTTATCTACTACAGTCAGAGTTCAGCGAGCCAAGTCCTCTGAAGAACAAACTCTCTTTCCTCCTTTGATGTGATAGCCTTCTCGATATCTCTCAATTATTTAAGGACACAAATGTTATTTTCAGAAGAATCTAATTGTGAGTGGGATGAAGGATTAAATGAATTTTTTTCTTGACAGGCCAGTGGTTTTATTATATCTCGAACATAAGTCGGTAGAAGGTCTTGAAAGCGGATTCAGGACGTCTTGCAGCTCGAACGGTTGCCTGCAGGAGGCCGATGAGAAAGCGACATGTCATCTTAGCGTTTCGGTCTTATCAAATTTCTCCATAGAAGGCACATCATGCATGGCAGTGGACCTGAAAGCAATATGGAGGAATGTTTTGGGCAAATGGAAGAACTACAGATATCGCTTTGTACCGTGGATTGCTACCAACCTCAAGGACAGGTTAGAAACTAATCGGGCTGTCAGCATCTCCGATTGTGAGGAAGTCGTCTCATGCCCTCTGTTCCCTCTCATGCCCTCTGTTCCCGCAGGAACTTGCGCTTGGCAACAAGTGATGCCGACAAGATTGTGTCTGATGGTCGGCTCGTATCTTCTCTGGTTGAGGTCATGTCGAAGTTTGAGATGTCAGTCGAGAAGAAAGATTGGCCTGAAATCCACCTGAAGAATCTCAAGGTTGGATTCTGGACTTTCCAGGAACAACTTTTGGTTGCAATTATTTTACAAGCCCGATTCCCATTGGACTCATACAGACTTGCACCTCCTTTCCAGGTCATGCACAAAGTGTGTGGCTTCACTATCAGAAAAGGGGCATCCAAGTTGCCTCACGGAGGAACGGGTGTGGGCGTGGCCGATGGGGAAATACCTGAGGGAACCTTGGTGGCCTTGTATCCTGGAACACGTTACATGCCATGGAATCCCATCCTTCTTCAGAGCCTGGGAAATCCCTTCATCTTCAGGTGCTCTGATGGCCTCCTCATTGACGGGCATCACAGGCGTATATCTGCAGTCATTTACAGGTTTCCTCACCTTGCCTGAAATTTTTTTTTTCAGTCAATTTAGAAGTTTGGTGGAAGGCCTTGACATTGATGCCTTGGAATATAATATGAAGTATTTTTAAGAGTAAATTTCCTACAGAGGTTGCTACTCATTTAAAATAAGATGGAAGTTGGAATGGATTCGTGTATATGGTTGCTGCTGAGTCTGCCATGTATTGCTGAATCCACTCCTATGATGTTCATGCATGGCTCATGAATGGGGAGGAATGGTATTGACTACTCTCTGAAGTATGTCATTATTGTGAGAAACTCTGATCTGAACCCAGAGGAAGGTGTTGGTGTCCAAGTCACATTTCAGTTACATTCATCTCCATCATTGCCTTATGTTTGTGTGTGTCCTTTTGCTGTAGTAGATATAGAAAGAGCACTGGTGTCAAATTATGCCAATGCCAAATTGTCAAGTCCCTCCAGCACAATCCTCAAATGTTGTCCATAAGATCCAACCATGGCAGAGCATTCAACAATCTGCAGATTTTTTTTTTCAGTAGTTGCAAAGATGTCACTAACAACCTCAGGAATTTAGGTTTTCTGCTTTCCCAATTCATTTTGCATCTGAATCTGTTCAACATTGCTGCTTTGTTAACCCCTTTGCTACCATTGATAACAGTGTTATCGTGACGGTGAACATTTAACTCTTTGATGACACCTTGTCATGACACAAAAGGAGTTGTGTTGTAGCCAGCTAATGCTTATGAAGTGAAAAAGACATGTAACAGTGTTTCATTGCATTATTGATGTGAAAAAAATTGGGTGTTTTGAGGAATTTATACGAAAATTTTGGTAGTGAAGAGGTAAAAATCTGAATGATCTTCCTCAATGCCAAAATTGAATTCTATACCCATTACATCTCAAGTGCTACAATGGTCTTTTTTGCAATAGATCGTGCAGCAGACGAGATCGCATCTTGCCTTTCCCGTCGGCCGAGGAGTCCTGGCTGACTCCGCACCCCGTGAATCCGTTGAGTGTTGGGCAGTTTGTCAACAATGCCACTAGAGGTGATCTCTTTTCGTCCGGTCCATTTTGTGTGGTCTTTTTTGGAAGAGTTGACCCTTTAGTTTCTGATTTGTGGTCCTTTCTTGCCCTGACATCTTGCAAGCAGAGTGGCCAGCAAATGTGGCATATCAGGAATGCGATGTCCCCATGGATTTCCCCACGAAGCTGAGAAGCCTCCTGCCGTACGCTCAGTACGCCATGGAGGAACGGGCGAGCGGCCGCATCGTCTGCCTCGTTTCGACCCGTCGCATCCGAGAGGGAGAGGAACTCCTCTCCTCGTATTTTACGCTCATACGAGATGCCGCGTGAGACTTTGTCGGCCTTCGATCGTGCTCGTTGTTTTTCGTGATTTAATTTATTTTTGTGATCTTTTTGAGAGTAGACATATTTGAATTTCCTGAGTGATGAACCCCATATGTGACCAATTTGTGATGTCTCGAGAAGGTCGTGCCATTCTCATGTTTCTGGAGGGAAATAGCTCTGCTTCTGTTTCATTTCTGATCTGTGGTGAGCAAGTGCAATTCATCATCCATTTCTATAATGAAAATCTCATTGTTCATTTTTATGTGTCCTCATTCACTTGAAGTTGTTGTGGAAACTTACACACTCCATGGAATTTTTAAGGACTTGTCGTCTAGCATGTCATTATGGTGTCTTTTCCTTACCTCATGTTCTTTGCCTGCACGTTCACACACCTTGGTCATAACGCCTGTAATGACTCATCCCATCATCTACAAATGCAAAGTTTATCTGCTCTCCTTTAATTTTTTAAATGTACCATTTGTCTCTGCAGGTTATGTTTGAAATGTAGAACATTGCACAGAGATGGAAAAGTGCAAAGTGCTGGCCTAAAAGTTTCTTCATTTATATTTAAACTACTTACAATTACAGTACCATTCCTTGGCAAGTTCTTTATGATGCAGTCATTTTTGGTTCATGGCTGGGAAGAGACATTGCCAATGTCTGAGCGCAATTATGTCTAAAAATTCCGTCTCTGTTTTGACCCAACCCGATGCCAATTGTAATTTATAAAAATTTGGAAAACAATTCTCGAGTGGAGTTATATGATGTTATAGGAAATCATTACTTTGAAGGGAGGAAAGTGGTACTTTATATGCCTTACTGGTACTCAGCGCAAGAACCTTGAAAAGAAATGGATAATATGGGATTGTGAGCTGCAATTCCTTACAGCTTGAAAGCAATTGATGCCTGTCGGCATCCGAGGTGTGATTTAAGGCCTTAAATCGATCGGAAAATGCCAACCTTCTGGCTTCAGCCAGATGTTGAGAAACCCTCTAATGTGTTCGTGTTTCATATGCATTTTTTATATTGCTGCGGCATTTTCCCCTCGGGCAAGAAGCGAGTAGTCGATTTCAGCCGTTAGGAATCGGCTTACCGTAGTAACGGTAAATATGTTGGAATTCCCTACGGTTCTGCAGTTGTATTTGCATCACTGTGTCCCAAATTATTGCTTTATCGGCCGCAGCAAGTATTTAAATTCGACTCGACGTCGGTCTCCCTTCGCAGGTTTTAGCGGAATTAATCTAAAATTGCAACGAGTGAATTAAATGTATTTCTTGACATTGAATCCTCTCAAATACACCTAAATAAATAATTACCGGAAAAATTTGCAATTGATGCCCTATCGACTTTGCAAATCCCCCCCAAATTTTTTTTCAAATGTCGAACTGAAATCGAAACAGTCAAAAGAGACACGGCTTTATTTGCATAAGATGCATGGCATCAAATGGAAATTTGCAGAAGAGTAAGTACTTCCCAGTTTTCGGGTCAAAACAAATTGGGCACCGGAAATGTACCTGATATAATCCTTTTAAATTATATTCTTTTTCTATTTTGTGTGTAAGAATACACACTTCCACACTGCAAATTTCATTTTCAAAATTCCTCCTAAATTCCTCCTCCAAAAAACTTTTTTCATTGTTCAATATAAGCCCGATTGCATCATACGGGTCGCAGGTTCTTGGCAGCTTCGGTTCACATCAGGAAAACTCACTCGAGCCAGAGAGAAAAGGGGAAATGTTGAGTTAGAAGTTTTTAAATACTGTCAGGGACTGACAGAAAAATCACAAACGTTCCCGAAACGCTTTCGGCTCGTGGGGATGCACGAGATCACAGTCCACGCATTCAAAGTTCATCTTTCTTGTCCTTATTCTTGTCCTTGTCCTTGTCCTTGTCCTTGTCCTTGTCCTTGCCCTTGTCCTTGTCCTTGTCCTTGCCCCTGTCCACGGTCTCGACCTCTTCTTTGTCCTTGTCCTTGCCCTTGCCCTTCTCCCTCTGCTTGGCAGCCCGCTTGGCCGCGTCGATGGCCGACTGGATCTGGTCGAAGATGTCCTCGACGGGGGTCTTCGGCCCCCAGACGTTCAGTACTTCCCCCTCGTGGTTCACCAAGTACTTGTAGAAGTTCCAGTCAGGCGGGACTCCCGTCGCACCTCAACGAATAGAAAAATTCATCGTTGGAATTCCGTTTCGGCGTCCCCCTTGCAACCGACGTGGTGGTTTTCTTTCGCTTGGGTGATGAACCTCTACGGTCAAAATGTAACTGTTATCGAATGGTACCGTCTGGTAAATTCATTTAATTCTCATTCGAGGACAAGGACAAGGGCAAGGACAAGGACAAGGACAAGGACAAGGACAAGGACAAGAATAAGGACAAGAAAGATGAACTTTGAATGCGTGGACTGTGATCTCGTG